TCCCAGCTCCGTAATGCCCCCCACAACGGCCCTTTATTTCCGCTAATGCTTAATCCCACCCTGGAGGGACTGGTGCCTGGTTCACACAGTTCACTGCACCCACAGCACTGGCGTTGCGTGGCCAAGGGTGGGACTGGGAGGTGCAGCCTCAGCCTCCCAAACCGAGCCAAACCCATGGCCCCAGATTTGTTGCTGATTGAGGAGGAAACTCTCAAACACCCCTCAAAATCAGGAGATTTTAATCATCACTTTATTAATGGGGCCACAAATCTGCTCCCCACGATGTGGGGGCTGGTGGGGTGGGCTGGCGGGTCTCATTGGTGTTGAGGTGCTCTGCTGTCCCCTCGGTGGTGGTCGGGGATGCAGAGCAGTGACACCTCGTTCTCCGGGCGGTGGCAGGGCGAGGAGAGCCGGCACCGCAGCCAGTGCCTGCAGGTGGGGAACGCCTACGTCATCGTCTACTCCATCACCGACCGGAGCAGCTTTAAGAGCGCCTCGGAGCTGCGCATCCAGCTGCGCCGTGCCCGGCAGGCCGAGGACATCCCCATCATCCTGGTGGGCAACAAAACCGACCTGGTGCGGTGCCGCGAGGTCTCCGTCGAAGGTGAGTGGTGGTGGTGGTGGGAATCTGGCCGGTGGGGACCCCCCAGGGGTCCCAGCTGCTTCCCCTGCGTTTTCCCCCTTGTCCTTGGACGTGCAGCCACTGCCCCCAGGGTGACATGTCCCTTCCCTCGCAGAGGGCCGTGCCTGTGCCGTGGTGTTCGACTGCAAGTTCATCGAGACGTCGGCCACTCTGCAGCACAACGTGGCCGAGCTCTTCGAGGGGGTGGTGCGGCAGATCCGCCTGCGCCAGGGGGGCAAGGAGGCCCGTGCGCCCCCCGGGCCCGGCCACAGGCGCAAGGAGAGCCTCACCAAGAGAGCCCGGCGCTTCCTCGACAGGCTGGTGGCCAAGAACAACAGCAAAGTGGCCCTCAAAGTCCGCTCCAAGTCCTGCCACGACCTGTCCGTGCTCTGAGAGCCGCCACCTGCCCGTCCCTCTGCACACGCAGGCTAGAGACTGTCCTCTCTGCCCATGGTGGCTCCACGGGTGCAAGGAGAGCCCAGATGGGGCCAGAGCGATGCTGAGGACGTGGAGCTGTTTTAACCGGTGCTGAGGGATGCTCGGGGTGCTCTGGGTCCAGCCGCTTCCCCCTCCAGGAGAAGTGGTGCCAGGTCCCCTGGGCTGCACCCACGGAGCAGAGGGTGGGATGGGCACCTACACTTGGGGTGGTGGGATCCTGGATTACAGACGTTCCTGGGGAGCCAGAGGTGAGGGGTGGCCGTGCTCCGGTGCAGGGCTGCCTGCAGGGCTGGAGCAGCTCCGGAGGCTGCAGGACGCGTGGCTGGTCCTACTCGTGGTGCCTCTTCTTTGCAAGGTGGCAGGGACCAGAGAGGGCACCATCGTGGTGTCCACCTCGAGGACAGTCCTGGAGCTGGCTGGGGAGAGGGGCTGGGGGAGCACGGACAGCATCACCTGGCACCCGCCCTCTCCACACCAGGGCTTCGTGCTGCGTCTCCCTGGCACCAGAGCTTCTTGGACTAAGGTTTTCCTTTACTGGTGCAATGAGGGAAACCCTCAATCTCCGGAATAAACTGCATCAGGGAGGTGCTGGTCTCCACTGGGTCCCTGTCATGGGGAGCTCTGAACTGGGGCTGCGTGTCCAGATTCAAACCCAGTTCATTGCTCACAGCTGGGGCAGGGAACCTGCCTCCTGCTCCAGCTTCCCCAGACAAAACACCTCAAGGCAGGAAGATCCTTCATCCACCTTTGACAGAAGTCTCTGTTCCTCACCCAGTGGTCACAGCATTGTCCCCTGCCATGGCAGAAGCCCCCAGCCCCTCTGCATCTCCCAGATCCTGAGTGGTGCTGGAAAAGCTTCTGGGAAGGGCTGAGCTCTAACCCCCTGAGCCCCACAGGACCCACAGCCTGGGCAAGGAGCAGGGTGCCCGGTGGCTCCCGGTGCCCTGGGAAGGGGCAGGGAGACAGGAGCCAAGCAGCACGGTATGGGCAGCAGCGTGGCACAGCCGGGAAGGGACGTGCTTGGCTGCAGGGAGCAGCGAGTGACCCCGAGCACCCGGGGAGGCGATGCTGGAGCTCCGTGGGCTCTGCTGGTTGTTTTTTAGGCTGCGCTGCCGGCAAGCAGCTGGGATGCTGTGGGGTAGCCTGCTCGGTGGCCCCGGGCCCGGCGCCAGGGAGGATCAGGGGTGCCCTCGCTCCCCGGGTCAGGTCAGGAGTTTCCGCTGGCTCTGCAGCTCCAGCGTGGGGAGCCACTGGCTGTGGCCGGCGTGGGGCAGCTGGAGAGGGGGTCACCAGCACAAAGGGGACACTGGGATGGGGAAGCGCCCTGTTCCTGTGGGAGAAGAGTCTCCCCACAGGTGCAAATCCCAGCAAAGGCTTGTCCCTGTGGGCTCCATCCCCAAGGACAAGGGAAGCCTGCTCAGCCTTTTCTCTGTGCTGCTTCGTGCCTCCCCAAAACAGTGACCAAAACATTGCTGCTCTGTCTCCAGCTGCTCTGCCGGGGCCCTGCCCTGGATTTCCCCGCACCCCCTGGTTCCTGGTGCTGCGGGATGCGATGCTGCAGCTCACACAGCATCAGCCACACCAGGGACGGGGGCTGCATGCCAAGGACAGGGGCTCCTTGCTGCTGCCGGGCTCTCCCACAGCCGCAGCCGGCGTTTCCCTGCGGCAGGAGGCGGAGGGGGGGTGAGGGGGGACAGCCACGGGATGGAAAGTTGGCAACCGACAGAGAGGGGAGTGGAAAGAATGAGCTCAAACCCAGAAAAATGTGGCCGCGCTGGAGGGTGGGAGGAGAGGCCAAGGGGGGCCATGGCGAGGCGCTGGGAAAGGGAGGAAGGAAGGAGGAGAGCCCTGAGCGGGGGTGCTGAGCCAGCTCCGGCCCTGGGGCAACGCTGGTGGGTGCCACGGCTGGACCCCAGGTCACACAGAGATGGATGGTGGCCCCTTCCTCCTCCAGCCCCCCTTGCCCATCTCCCATGAGCTCCCAGTGCCACCCATCTGCTGCCAGCCATGAGGGGATGGTGCGTGCAGCCTGCGGGGCCAGAGCAGCCTCCCCGACGTGCAGGGGTTCATCTTGTGATGGAGAGCAGCTAAGAAAAGGAGGAGGAGGGCAGGGCAGGGCATCCACTGCCCTTCCAGGGGCAGGTTGAGCCTTCGGTCCCCGCAGGGTGGCAGTGACCAGGGTCTGATTTGGGTTCTGGTTTAACAACCCATGGAAACGCAAGGAGTGGCTCACCCCCCGATAGCTTTCCCTTTTGGCTTCCCCCCGGCTCAGAACGATGCTCCTCTGCTGGTTAACCCAGGCTTAGCGCTGGGCAGCAAGGCTGGGAGGGGAAGCGTTGCCCTTCATCGAGGGTTCCCAAGCCAAGCTGGGGTTTAGGGGGCAGGTGGGCACCCGAAGGGATCCGTAAGGGGCTGGGTGAGGGGATCAATAAGGGTGGTAGTAGCCGTGCTGTGTGGTGCTGGTGCTGTGCCGTGCCATGCCGTGCCATGCCATGGCAGGCAGCAGGGTGGGGAGCAGTGGGGTGTGTGCTGGCCCCACTGCTGCCCTTGGTGCCCGTCCTTCTCCTTTGTGGGAGAACTGGTGGCAGGGAGAGGACAGCATCCCAGGCAGGAGGCCAGCCCCGCAGAGAGGCGCTCCCAGGAGGCCTTTCCATCTGCCCTCCGCCTGAAACGCGGAACTATGAATCACCCCCGGGTCCTGAAATAGATTCCCTTTTTTTAAAAAAGAAAAAAAAAAAAAGAAGAAGAAAGAGGAAAACATTTTTTTTTAAATTTAAAAACTTGCTTTTTAATCCCTGCTGTGTTCCCTTCCCCTGCCCGTGGCTCAGATCTAAACCAGGGGCAGCACCATTGAACTTTTGCTCAGTCTTTAGTCTCCCCTGGTGCCTTTGCCTGTGAGCAGGCTCTCGCCCGGGTGAGGGGGACACGCTGGAGGAGGAGGCGGCTCGGTGGCACAGCCGGCCTGCCAGCGGCTCAGGAGGGGAGGGAATATTGGTGAGGAAAACACACATTTCAGCCAATTTTCCAGCAGAGCCCTGGCCCCAGTCCAGCGGCAGGGAGAGTTTACTGCCGTTTAGGAGGCATTTTCACAGAGCGGGGGGGGGGGGGGGGGGGGGTGGGGGGGGGGGCCGGGGGGGGGGGGGGGGGGCAGGGGGGGGCCCCCGGGGGGGGGGGGGGGGCGGCGGGGGGTGGGGGGTGCAGCCCTGGGGTGGTTGGGGG